CATCTTGTTTTTTGAAAATGTTGTATTTTGGACATGCTTTGTCAGTTTTCATTCAAACTTGGTACATAGATTATACATGTTAGGATACATGTCCATGATGATTTATTTCACAATTGGATCAAAGATGGCTGACTGGCAGCCATCTTGTTTTTTGAAAATGTCGTATTTTGGACATGCTTTGTCAGTTTTCATTCAAACTTGGTACATAGATTATACATGTTAGGATACATGTCCATGATGATTTATTTCACAATTGGATCAAAGATGGCTGACTGGCAGCCATCTTGTTTTTTGAAAATGTCGTATTTTGGACATGCTTTGTCAGTTTTCATTCAAATTTACTACATAGATCATACATGTTAGGATACATGTCCCCGACCGTCCATGAGTTCCTGAGTCTGTCCGTCCGTCCGTGTGTCCGTCTGTCCCTGCGTCAGTCTATCCAACGTCATATTTCAGAATCCTGTGGACTGATTCCGTTCATTCTTTGCATGTGCCTAGTACCTTATGTGGGACATATGCACATGCAGTGGTTTAGCGATTCGATTCAAAATGGCCGACTGGCAGCCATCTTGTTTTTTGAAAATGTTGTATTTTGGACATGCTTTGTCAGTTGTCATTCAAACTTGGTACATAGATTATACATGTTAGGATACATGTCCATGATGGATCAAAGATGGTCGACTGGCAGGCATCTTGTTTTTGTTTTTTTTTGCGGTATCTTGGACGTGCTCTGTCAGTTTTCATTCAAATTTGGCACATACATGTACTTTATACATGTTAGGATGCATATCCATGACAATTTGTTTCAAAATCTGGTCAAGGATGGCCGATTGACAGCCATCTGACTTTTTGGCCTTACTACTATATTTACACAATTTATGTACCATTTTCATTCGTATTTGGCACATACATCATACATATCAGTGTGTTTCATAATCAGATCAAAGATGGCTGAATAACGGCTGTTTTTATTTTGGCCATATTACTATGACACGAAACACGTGTTTTGATGTAAATAAACAATCTGTTGTATAGGCCACTTGGAACTCAAGTTTCAAGGACACGCTCGCGACAACCCCTCCGCTTTAATATGACGAGCACAAAGAGAACTTAACGGGGACTGTGTCATTTTCAATGACTTGTTGCTTTTATTAATGTGTGGACATTCAGGAGGACAAAATTATCAGAGTCACTGTGAATTTATTCAACGCCGCAAAATTTTGTGATTTGCCCTGACTTACTTTGTAAACAAATGCAAAGATTTGCTGTGATGCAACTAGTTATTCCAATGGTATGTTGTTGATGCAACAGAAAATGATACTGTAACAGTGATATTATAGTGATCTTGAAAAACATCTATATATAGTTATAGAATTTGGTAAAGTGAAATTAACATTTTACAAACAAAATAAATGTAAAAATGAAGAAAATCAGGTGCCAAAACATTTGTGTTTGGGCCTTAAGTCACCAACCTAGTCACATACCATTTACTCATTTTTTGAAGAACTCACTTCAGCAGTCAACAAAATGGCTCAACTTGATTTTGAGGGATCTCTACAAAATCAGTTCTGGAGGCACATTGCTTCAAATATAAAAACATTTACTTTGAACAGTTCGTTTTGCCATTGTCAGTTTCATTTTTCACCACAACCCTCTCATATGCAATCTTATTTTCTTTGGAAAGTTTACTTGATGCATACAATATTTAGTAAAAGAAAACAAAAATAGAACTTCTCAAATTTTTTGTTTTTCTCTTCAGGTAAGCTGTACATGCATGAAATGATAAACATAGATGGTGAACCAACTGAAATGTTACAACTCCAGACATGTAATGTTCGTAACCATGGTATCATGTACACACATAATGGAATGAATAGAAGAACTTTGTTGGGTCATACCATTCGTGTATATGGGGGTGCAGAGCTCTATGGTGTTAATTTGCATATTGAAACTGAAGAAGTGATTGTTGATTCTCTTGGGTCATTGAATGTTGACAATGCTGGCTACCGAAGTGCAGGTAAACAATTTTATTGGTTGTGTTTTCTGGAACTTTTCCGGGTTAATTAAGGAAGTTACGTGTGAAGGAATTTTTAGTAATTACTGTAAAACACATTGAAATAGCTACATGCTATTTTAGCTAATTTGACTCAACACATGAATTAACAAAATCTTAATTTAGCTAAAATGCCAACAATCTCATTGTGAGAATATACTTTATTCTAAATTAGCGACATCTTGAATTAGCAAAATTGCAGATTACCTGGGGTAGCTAAATTAGCTAAAAAGACGTGTTTTACATAAGTGGAGAACATGTTGCTGCTGTATTTAACATATGGTTGCCGTGGTAATGTTTGTTTTTGGTTACCACAGTAATATTTATAGTGTTACATGTATGATTGCCATGGCAATGTGTGATTCTCTGTGGTTGCCATGGTGAATTTTCCTTCATAGATAGTTGCTATGGCAATGTGTTTTTTGTGGGGTTTTTTGGTGATGTGCAACACAGATCTGTAATGTCATGTTTTCTTCATTTCAGATGGTCCAGGTGGTGGTTTTACATATGGTAATTATGGAACAGGTGGTAGTCATGGCGGCAGTGGAAGCTGTGATAGCGAAAGTGAATCGTCTCCTCCTGGTTATGGATCGTTTGTCTTCCCCAATGAGTTTGGATCAGGAGGCGGTATGAGCCACCTTGGTGCAAATGGAGGAATGGGTGGTGGGATCCTAACGATGAATGTCAGTCGCTTGTTACGTGTTGAGGGTGCTCTTCATGCCAATGGTGAGAACTCCCAGAATAATGATGCAGGTGGTGGCAGCGGAGGCAGCATGCATATTATTGCCAAGAGGTTTGAAGGAATGGGAAGTATACAGGTAATCTCAGTTTAATAAACAATTCATCTGTCCAAGTATGTGAATATTAAATTTATTATTTCATGATTGATAAAATTGAAATTATCAATTTTGAAGTATTTCTCAGAAACGATAAATACTTATCGTAGGATTATTGGAATAAACATTAGCGATTTTCACTGACTTTTGAAATTACTGAAAAATTAACTCAACATGGCTTACAGTAATTTTTTATTTTCCCCTGAATACTAGTAAGTAGATTAGCTACTTATTGTGCAAAACACAAATATGCACCGGACATCATCACATCTTTATAAAGGTTAACCTTTTCAATTGTGTAACAAGGGGTACTAGTCTTATCCAATTTTGTGATTTCTGATAAATTCTGCTTAAAACACATTTTTTTAAACTATGCACTGGACAAAGCTGAAGAATCTGTCTTCAGGTCGTCACCTGTTATAATCAGTTGTTTTAATCATGTCACTAGTTTTATCATATCTGTGTTTTCTGATGAATGTTACTTAAACCTTAATGTATTTAGTACATTGTTATCATGCAGTCAAAACAAATTATAAAAACGTGAACAATGTTCGCATCTATACTTTAAACTGGATTTAAAATATTATGACTTACAAATCTTTGATACAAAGGTCAATGGTGGTTCTGGACATGGTGGAGGAAGCGGAGGACGGTTGGCTTTGTATTACGAGGAAGACGACTACAGTGGAGTCTTTGAGTCAGCTGGTGGTGCAGGATACAATGAACATGGTGCGTCTGGTACAGTGTATCTTAAGAAACAACATGATGATTTGGAAGAAGAGTATCGAACACTTCGTATTTATAATAGCTTTGAATATGCTAATAAACAGGTATGTAATGGGAGTAGTCAAACTGATATTAGATAAAAATACCATTATTTGTCACATATGAAATGTACACATGTATAGTGTGTCACACTATTTACTATTATAAGAAAACACATCTCTAATAGAAGAGCATATAAACCAAAAATGACATTTGTTGTATACTGAATTGTTAAAGCGAGAGGGTCGTCACCTGCGCACGAGTGGGAATTGAGTCCGAAGCGACGATAACAACACACACTAAAAACGCAAAGGCTCATGAGTAGACGCTTGTTTGTAAACACGCTATGGCCAACTGACGCATGCACAGGTAACGACTCTCCCCCTTTAAAACATTAATTATTTTCACCATTATAGTAACATCTCTAAAGTACTTAAAACTCTTTGAGTGCCATTGTCACATTTTTGACACCAGCAACCAAATGATTGTATACAATCTGCTCCCCCACATGAAATGTGGGTAAAACATCTTGGTCAAAAGCTGATAGTAATATCTGAAACTGTCAGTATGGACCAAAATTGTGATGAAATTTAGTGACAAATTCACAAAATGTGAAAATATTTGCACTGAATTTTGGGCAAGAAAAATATCTGGCAGTCAAAAGGTTAAGCAATTAACAATTTAACAATTACGATAATTTCACATAAAAAATAATAAAATTTACAATTAAATTACTAAGCAATAAAAATAGACAAAATTATATCCAAAAGCCAAAACAATAGATTCTATTTTAATTTGATTGGGTTGATGCCTGATAATACATTATAATTGGAAGATGGTCATAATGCCATGTCACGTTGTCCCAATAAACATGTATTTTTTTAGTGGTGAAATTTAGCATTTTTAATTGCAATCTGCACATAAAATAAATTCTGAAGATACAAAAACGAATTTTATAACAAAAACTACATGTAACTCACACTAAAGTATTTAAAAAAATAAGAAGAAAAAGTACATGTTGGATAACTAGGATATAACTATTACTGCAGTAAGTGGTAGAAACATGGCTCCAAATGTCTGATATGTTTTCTAATATTCCTAGTCATTAGTATTACATTATTGCCTATTTACAGAGTCGTAAAACATGGGTAAACATTCCAGAGAATGTGTCACGTGATTATGACATTGATTTATTAGACATTGGTGGATATGCACATGCCTCCATTGAGTCCTCTGACATCAATGGCTGGCCATCACAAGGACTAAGACGATTAAGTGTGTATGATATTGCTGGTGATCACACAGCTACTGTGCATGTCAGTGCTGACAAATACTTTGATATTGTTGGCAATGCAACCTATAGAATACCATTCAGTACAGCTGTCTATGAGGTGAGTCATGTTATAAACATTTTCACCACGAGTTCCCTCTTTTCATCACAAAATCCCCCTTTATAGTCTGCACCTTTCTTCAGAAGATTGGGATAAAAATAGCCAATTGCTTTGAGTAAAAAGTGAAAATTGACTTAAATTTTGTCTGTTGGCTGCAAAATTAGGGTTCATTTCCAGAAATATTGAAAAATATAAGAAAAAAAATGCAGAAAAATTGTGAGAAGTCTGGTGGTGAAAAGGTTAAAGGAAGAGCTGAGATCACATTTCAGTCTAGTTAGCCAATTTGACAGGCATGGACTCTTCATCTTTCAAAACATGAGTCATTTACGAGAAGAAATGTTATACAAATAGACATTTAGAATCCATCTATTAATTGATTTTGAAAACAATTGGAGAGCACACAAGCCAGGCCTGTTACCAGACATGAAACTTAAGTGTTGATGTGCTCCAATGTAAGATCCAAACTATCATACCCATGTTCAAGAGTGACATATTTCGTCACAATTTTTGGTTCACATTGTCTTGCATAACAAAAAAAAGTGCAACATTGATCGTGCACAAAAATTATTGAATTAATTGATTGTGAAAGGTATAAAACAAAGTTCTTTGCCAAATGTTCACAAGTTGTTAGTCTCAGGGTGGAGCTACATCACAGAACGTTCTACGTTGCGAAGACTGTGGAATGCCAGTCAATAACTAAATTCAAGGAAACAGCACAAACTCAAATTTGAAATAATCCTGAACAGCCAAATTTATTTATGTTGTACATTGTAGGGGTAATCTTGTTTTCCTGTTCAAGTATCTCAAAGTACAGTTTTCTGAAAGTTTTTGGAGAGTTGATTATTTGAACATCATAATTTTTCTTTCCAAAACTTGTTTTAATTTTATTGTATTTCTGTGTTAATTTGAACCAAATGGACTTTAATAATTTCAATTTTTCAACATACTGTGTGCTTTTGTTGACTTCATACAGAATGGCACTGCATCATTTCCGAGCCATACCTATTTACAAGATGTAGACTTGATGTTATACGGTGGTCATGTGTTTGGAATTGACCACCTTGAGCTGTCTCTGAATGGCCAAACCATCATGGATGCTGACAGTAGGATAAACTCAAAAGAAGATAGTATTGTCAGTCTAAAGGATGTCACAATACATGATGGTGGTGTGTTTCATTACACCGGGGATGCAAGGGTTGATGATGCTCTGATGATGACACTAACAAATGGACTACATGTGAGAGGAGGTGGATCTCTGATTGGTAATCAGTTACACATACAAGGTAAAGACAACATTAAACTCCCATATATTAAAAACGTGTAAACTTGTTGAACAATGTTAGGCATACATGTACAAGTCAATGAGTCAAGTAACTAAAATTTTAAAAATTAAAAGAGATTTGTCTCATTTTTAATATCAATAGTAAATGGCATCATCCATCATCCCAAAATGAGTCAATTCTACTCTACTGGTGTAGTAGCAGTATTATAATGAAAGCGGTCTATTCATTTATAAACATGAATACATATATTATGTAGCAGTAATAGCCCTGTCAATGTATTTATTGGAGAAATTGCAGGACAATGTTTTGGCACTTTTTGCATTTCATTGTTTGTACAAGCAACTGTTTTCATGTCCAGGCCAGCGCAACACAGATTGACTTTCTCATACAGTAGCTTGATCTACACTTGGTACCTTAAATATTTGTGCAACAGATTAATTTTTTTGAAGATGGTGATATGAAGTGCAATTGATCACTGGTTGGTGACATTTTGGTATATAATTTAACGATGATTTTTTTTCATCATATCAGCCAAGACCATTACAGTTGATGATGAAGGAGAAGTGAATGTCAACTACAGAGGATATGGACCAGGTGAAGGACCTGGTGCTGGCATTGATCATGTTTATGGTGGTACAGGGGCTTCACATGGTGGCAGAGGTGGCATTGGAAGTTGGACATTTAAAGCAGCTCCTGCATATGACAATGTCCTGGACCCAGTGGATTATGGTAGTGGGGGCAGCATTGGTGGAGGGACACAGGTAGGTCATCCCTATGACAATGTACTAGTCTATTTTATAATGTGTAAAACTGGTCTATAGGGATACATCTAGGTTGAACAGTGATATGTAATTAGAATGTACAGTGTATACATTATAGTTTTCAACAGTTTTATCATGTGTATAAGTATTTGATTTATGTTTAATGATATTATACATATGCACGTCAATTTGTTTCATGATCTGATTCAAGATGGCCGAATGGCGGCCATTTTTGTGCTAAAAATCATCAAAATCAAGCATTTTTCGGCTGTTTACAGATGGATTTTGTTCAAAATTGGTATATACATTAGACATTATAGGACCTTGATGCACATCATTTTGTTTTTCAGATAAGATTCAAAATGGCCGACTGGCGGCCATTTTGTTTTAATGAATGTGGTTCTAGTGCCATATCTCTGACTTGCTTTGACTGATTATGTTCAAATTTTAAATATTCATTATAGATCATGTCATAGATATACAGATATATTGGTTTGACGATTCTACTAAAAATGGCCGAATGGTGGCCATTTTTGTGCTAAAAAATCATCAAAATCAAGCATTTCCCGGCTGTTTACGGATGGATTTTCTTCAAACTTGGTATATACATTAGACATTATGGGACCTTGATGCAAATAATTTTGTTTTTCAGATCGGATTCAAAATGGCTGTCTGGCGGCCATTTTGTTTTAATGAATGGGCTTCTAGACCCATATCTCTGACTTTTTTTGACTGATTATGTTCAAATTTTAAATATTCATTTTACATCATGTCATAGATATACAGATATATTGGTTTGACGATCCTATTCAAAATGGCCGAATGGTGGCCATTTTTGTGCTAAAAAAATCAACAAATATCAAGCGTTTCTGGCATTTATAAATGGATTTCGTTCAAACTTGGTACATATATTAGACATTACAGGTTTCTGATGCACGTCATTTTTTTTTTCAGATTGGATTCAAAATGGCTGACTGGCGGCCATTTTGTTTTAATGATTGGGCTTCTAGAGCCATATCTCTTAAATGCTTTGACTGATTATATTCAAATTTTATATACGGTATTCGTTATACATCATGTTATATATATATATAAATGGCTGATTTTGAATGCTGTTCCAGAGCAATATCTCTCAATATGGACAAGTACTTGTTTGACGATCAGATACAAATGTGAATCATTTTAATGTTAAAAAAATCATATTCCTGACATGGTTATATTCCAGCTATATTACTATAAACAAAACTATGTATCTTAAATTTGATAACTAACGGGGACTGTGCCATGCATGGCTTGTTTTTCATCATTTGTAAATTCTATTCTAATTAATTTGTTTCCAGGCGACAGGGTCTGGTGGAGGCACTATTCAGCTGATTGCAGATGTTATCATAGTAGATGGTGTGATCACATCCGATGGTGGTACTTCAGACCAGCCTGGTAACGGTGGAGCTAGTGGTGGAAGTATCCATATTCAATCTGACATTCTATCCGGTGAGTTATCGTGAAATATATACTTTCACTTGTGGAAGCTAAATACGGTTTACCAATGTCACAGTTACTCTATACATTTTGTATGTCAAAAAATCAATAGAATGTAATACACATGAACAAAACTAACAATAATGTGTTTGTGTTTTGATTATGTAGGTACTGGTGAGATGTCCTCTAATGGTGGTGATGGTGCATGTGTTCTACATTGTAATAAATGTAATGAACATAGAGAATGTTTGGAGTGTACAGATTATAAATATTGGAGAGATTACAATTGTATCGATGATTGTGATGATTATCATAATCGCAGAAATGTCTCTTATTCATATGGTCATCTGGTAATCCATAAAGTTGGTAGTTATTGTGTGAATGAGAAAGCTGCTCATGACGAGGCAAGTATTGTTTTAATACTGTTTATTGCTGGGAGTAAGGTTCAATCTCAAAATTGGGATTTATAGATTAGCTCAGCATTCCTTGAGTAGCCTTGAATTGCCAGGATGTACCGGAATTCCAAAAAATCTTGTTTCAGTCTTGAAAAGTCTAGAGCAAAAAATCTGACACTTGAAGTTAATAAAAACTCGCTCCTTTTCTTCATACTACCTTTTCATTTATAATTTGCTGATGGTGAGAAAGTTCATTTTTGCAATTTTCTAATCTGTGCTTGAATTGTATTAATTCAATGGAAAACATTGATTCCGGTGAAACTTGAATGAAACTTCCCTTTGTACCACCTTATAAATTACAACCAAAATAGCCTGGAATAGCCTGTAATTATTTTTTTTTCTGAAATGTATGAATGCAACAGCAGTTTGTCTGACCATTATGTTGGCAGAGTGATCATACATTAAAGCATGAATGTGTTCATTATTTGTGTTATCATGATTGGATTCAATATGGCCAACTATTTTGATTTTTGTTACAATCTATATCTCCATATCCCCATGAATACTGATGTTCTCCACAATATTTGGGCCAATTGATGCATGAGTTCATCATTTTGCTTCATGATTGGATTCAATGGATTCAATTGAAAACTTAATTATTATTAACTTTGTTTTAAATGTAAAATTTTACAAGTTATCATATTTATAATAGAATGTAATGTACAAGATAGCTGAAAGTACAATTTATATTTCACTCACAGTTGTGGATAATTGGGGGTGGTGGAGGAGGAGGACGCATTGCTCTGTATACTTATGAAGATAATAGATATACTGGTAACTTACACACTTATGGTGGGGTCAGCTACAAAGAATCTGGTGGACCTGGAACTATCTACATGTCTAATACTACACCAAATGGCACTCAGACTACTCTAATAGTGGACAACCAGGGAAGAACGCCTCTACGGGATCATAGACTCCACGATGTTGAGGAAGACTCTGCTCGAGCATATATAATTACTGGTGAAGCGCATCAAGTTGATTCTTACTGGTTTGATGAGGTACACATCAATCAAGGTGCTCATTTAGCCTTTGAGAGCAATGTTAATTATTCTACTGCGGTGGAGATTGGTAAAATATATGGAGATCTGACTGGTATGCTACACAGTGCAGAGAGTTTTCCTATTATCATTACAGAATCACAGTCACCATTCCCTGCTGCTTTTTACATCTATGAAGATTCATATGTACAGCTACCAACAGGTGGGTTGTTTAATCTTGCATTTAGTGGTGAATTTATACTCTATATATACATGTACATGTATGATCATATGAAATTTAGTCCCAGAAGTTTAAAAAAGGGAAACTTCTCCTTCTTGTGTGTATGTGCACGTGTATGTGTGTTCATCCACACCTTAATCTCAGACATGTCTGGATTAGTCATGTTCAAATTTCATATGTAAGTCGTACTTCATGTCACACACTATAAACATGCATTTGTTTCATGATCCGATGCAAGATGGCCAAATGGCAGCCATTTTAAAGTTAAAATGCAAAAACCAAATATATCTGGAGCCAATTCTGGACTGATTTAATTGAAACTTGGTACATATACCAGAATATGTTCTGTTGCTTGCAATTAACTTGCTTACTCATTAGTGATATTTGCTGTAACTTTCAAGAATATTTTAAATTCTCAAATGATTTTTTTGAGCCAGTGAATAATAAGTGTTAAAATAAATTACTGAGTTTCATGCGTTTATCATATTTTGAAATCCTTGCCTGGAAGGTCCACTCAATTTTATATTCAGCACATTCAGTGGAAAAATGTTGGTGATATATGTCAAGGATTTTTGGTCAGTCTCTTAGTATGGAGATGTGCATGTTATGTCAATAATGGTAGTAATAGCCAATATTCATTTTTTTTACAATGTATGATACATGATTGTGACAGGAATGATTATATTTATCTTTTCAGCTGTCACACTCAGTAATCTGGACTATCCAGACATCTATATTGATGGTGAAGTAGATGGAGTACAGAATCTTGTGATTGGTACACATATCAATTTGCATATTGGAAGTCAGGTAAATATTTATTTTGTGTTCGATTCATGAAATCATCGCAGTACTGAAATTGTTGCTAAACTGAAAATAAAGTAAATTTAATTCAATGATCTGATTCTACTTGTAAAAGCATTTTACAACTCACAATAAATATCCTTAGGACAGTTCAAACACATAAATAAGCGAAACAAAATTATTGTATTTTTTTGTTTCAAAAGTGTCACATAATTGTTGATTTAGACATAAGTCATTCACTGTTGAGCTTTTTTACTCTGCATCAATAATTTTTTTTTTTGAAAACGTATAAAAATGGGTCTCTTCGAAACTATTTCTATAGGATTTCATAAAACATGAATAGTGTTTGTCAGAATTTGTCAATAATTCAGAAAAGCCATTAGTACCCATCTTATAACTACCGCTACCGAACAAAAATTTTGAGATATGACTAAATATTTTCATCACAGGAACCAATGGTATAATGACTTTATGTGATGAATCTCATTAACTCTGAACGCCAAAGTCAACTTTTGTCACCATATACTAATTTCAAAAGTACAAATTATTTTCGTAATTTTTTCCAAATTTTGATCAAGACTTGTTGCTAATTGAAAACTATGTCCAATTGGTTCAAAATTATGCATCTTTTTCTATTTAAGGGTCACTCATCTGGAGACGATAAAAAATGTCTGAATTTATTGAACCTGGATATTTTATCTGATGGTGCGATTCAGTCCTGGTACGGACAAGATCCAGATTTATCTGAGACCAATCCAGATTATCCTTCATTGAATTTATCGTTAAGCGATAAACTACACATCCATCCTGGTGGCAAGATATTGGTAAGTGTACAAGCATAGACATAGAAATTTATGATAAGACCAGGACCAGATATCTGAATAATTAATCTTATTTGGATGGTGGGACAGGAACTTGTAAGGAGTTCAGTCCATGTATGCCTATACCAATTTTTGCTCTAATTTGGCAAAAATACAAGATATGTTTATACACGTATACATGTAAATTTGTATTTTGTTTCATTACTTTTGACGGACTGGTGGCTATTTTTGTTGCTAAAAGATTATGTCATCAAATGCTTCTATAAAGAATTTAGCATTTCTATAATTAGCAATATAATTTACTCATTTTAATACTTTGTCACCAACGTATCACTACAAAAATTTGTCCTTGTATATATCATTAACCAACTGTAATTCATTGCACTCACAGTATGGCTAAAATTATAAGACATTTGCAAACCCAAGTCATAACATCTGAGTGTCAATTTCTTACAGACTGCTTGGGTTGAAGTAAATGCTAACACTGTTATCATAGATGAAGCTGGATTTATTGATGTTAGTGAGCAAAGTAGTCAATATATACATGAAAGACATGGAGAAATATACTCACCATACTGGGGTAAGTATGAAAACTTGTCACATGAATGATCAAAATAGTGCATATAATTTCATGAAGAAATTTCTTGCGAATGCAAATTCAATAGTTGTGAGATCCCATGGTTATGTGTGAAATCAAATGTAAAAACAGGACAAACAAAGGTCATAGAGTCGTAATGACGTCATAAAGTTGTGTGGCACTCAACAAATGCAAAATTATTTTGGGGTATTTCCATGCTTAATTTTGTGCTTTACATTTTTGATGATGGTCAATTTTGATGAAATAAGAGTATCCCAAAGCAATATTCCTATCTTCAAAAATCAGTATTTCAACTTTAGTTATTAACCAAAAAAGTGAAATTAAAAATCAAATCAGTTGATTCTTTCACACAATATACAAGTTCTCGCAGTGAATGGAAAATCATCTATTTTGATGATGATTTGTAGGAAAACAATTTTGTGAAGTATATGTATACACGCCAAAATTGATATTAATCTGATCTTATTGATCAAGGAGTATTCTACTTTATCACTGCAGGGTTGAATTATCAGTGAATCAGTCTAATTATATTTTCAACAGGTGGTTCTGGTGGTGGCCATGGAGGTAGTGGTGGACAGGGTTACAATACGCAGAAAGTTGGACCAGCATATGGATACTTACATCATCCTAGAGATTTTGGTACTGGGGGAGGTAACTCAGGTGGCAACCTGACTGATGGCGGTAGAGGAGGTGGTGTCATTAGTATCACTGCCCTTGATATTGAGATATATGGAAGTCTGAAAGCCAACGGTGGTGATGCTATGAGTGTATCAAGTGGTGGTGGTGGTGGAGGAGGTGTGTACACAGAGAGTGTTAACTTTAGAGGGTATGGACTGATAACTGTCAACGGAGGGTCAGTTCCAGAGGGTGGAAACTATGCTGGAGGCGGTGGTGGAGGAGGGAGGATGGCTCTCAATTATATCAATAATTATTTTACTGGTCATCTCCAAGCATATGGTGGAAGAAGTCTACATGAAGTGGGTGGTGCTGGAACTATTATACTACATAACACCCAAGGATTGAACACATCACTGTACGTGGACAATAACAATATAGGGAGGCCGTTAAATGAAGCAATTGATTACATTTCTTTAGTAGGACGACATCGTGGTAGTGTTAGTTGTCGTACATGGGTTGTTGACCAACCAGGTTATGAATTCCTATTCGATACTATGTTTGTCACTGGTCAAGCAGAGTTGGCATTTGTTCGGCCATGGCCTGAGACGATGGTGAAGCAGAACATTCTGGCAAAGAAATCTGAGGGTGATGGTTCAGGCATAGTACATATCGGACCTTTACAGGTAAACCTGTGATGTATTCTCTATCAAACATCTTTCATTTAATGCACCAAAATCCTGACTACAAATTATCATGAACTTTCTTCAGAACAGCAGACAGAAACAATATATACTACAATTGAGGTTTATAATTTAAAAAAATAATTCAGATATTACCTGAAATTAAAACACATGTGAAATTACCATGATCTTAAAACTAATTACTGGAATCTTTATATTCACAGGTGTTTGATGTAGAACTTCCTCATAGCAGTCCTCGACTGCGTTGGGGTATAACTATCTATCCACATGGTGAAATGATTACAGCGTCATCCCTTGAAATATATGATATAGCTGTCATCATTGAAGGAACATTGACTGGGGGTAAAAACGTTACAGTTGGACGTGGAGGAAAACTTATTCTGAGGTATCAGGCAGTTTTAACTATTAAACCAGAAATATTTAGGAATTAAATTATTATTTATTATAAATATGTCAGTAAAACCTAGACCATATATGAGCAAAGAACTTGCAAAAACATGTTCATAAATATTTACCAGTCATAACCCGATTTCCTTGAAGTAAAAATGTTTGTTTGGCAGAATCTACCATCATCATCATTACAAATTCTCTGACTCAATTACAGCAAAACTAAATGTTCAGAAGAATGACAAAAGTTTACTGACAATTAATAAACACATATTACAATTCATGGTCAAATCAAGGCATGAAGCTGTCCTTCTTTCATTGGTTTTAATATTATGTTTTTTAGTAAATTAAAAATTAATTTATATCTTAACATAACGAATTTATTGTTTATTTAGGCATGTGACCAATGAAACCCATGAGAGTATCCGTGATATTGGATTTGATCATCTTGAAGTGTATGGAGGAGGTCGTGTTATATCAGAGAGTGATGAAGATGGGTTATTCCTGACAACCAATCGTTTACATTTGTCTAGTGGATCGGTGTTTGAAGCTGACAGATTAACAATTACATCACATGTTGTTATATTAGATGACCAAGCCATGATTGATTTGTCTTCCAAGGTGTGGATCACTAAACAAAGATTTTTATTCTCTTTATCAAACCTCGTAAATAATATTATTTATCACTATTAACCAACTTCATCAAACTTTTGATCAAAATCTAGGTTATCCATGTTTTCCAATGTTGGCGGAGTTTGAAAGTTGGATAAATTTTCTTTTCCTGCATTTTAAACCTAATATTTTGTCAAACACTGTATTTTGATTATTTTAATATTTTCTGGATCAAATTATTTGGTTTATTAAATTCATGGAATTCCCATTGAACCTGAAAAGTTCTATTGTAATTTATGTTCTTAGGGATTTAATTAGCAGGAGTTTACTTGTCAATGAAAATAACTTGCTTAAAGCTCAGTGAATACTTATAAGTATTCAGTAAATTTTATTTCTGCTGCTTAGAAAATGGTAATGAAGAATCAACTTGCATATTTTCATACAAAAAACTTGTCTCTAAAATTGCAAATGGACTGGTCATACAACTCATGAACCAAAAAAATAGTTAATACTTTCTGTTTTTTACACAGTCTCTGATTGGTGGTTCAGCAGGGCTTGGAGAAGGGCATTATGAATCTGGAGCTGGACATGGAGGTGAAGGCGGTAAAGGTTCACGTCCTTTTAGTGGTGGTGGTATGTTTTATGGAGACTTTGTACACCCTAATGAATTCGGCAGTATGGCTAGTAATGAACAATCCCATGGTGGTGGAGTACTCAAGATAAACACAGACAACTTGCTTCATATTGATGGTTAGTAAACCTGATATTGACA